ACGCCGGCTGCAGCTATTCCAAACTTTTTATGCGTTTTTTGCAGCTATGCAAAGCAAAAAACGCATATTGACGAGAGGTTGTCTGTGTATTTGTGTGTGTCTGTGTGTGCGCTGCGCGTCTGTACCGATTTTTCAACTTGAGACCCACAAGAGCTACGGGGCTTAAACTTGGGGAACTTAATCTACATGCACGTACGGGCCCCAGCCCCCCAAAATAGGCGCTATTCCATGTGGTACCTGCGTATGAGCCCGCCAAAATTTTTTTCGAGTAAGTTGCTAACTAAGAAGCCAGGAAAGCGAGAAAGCTGAAATCTTAAGGGAGTGTTACCTAGCAGTTCTGGCGGCCAATCTTAATTTGTTTAGCTAGAAGCATTTGGCGGAAAAGCCAGTGCCGGTAGCAACAAAAATTGCGGGGAACTGTGCAAAAAACGCATCTTCGCACGGGCAAACCGTGCGTTGGCCAATTATTATTATTGTGCTGCGTAGCTCTAGTTAATTTCCTGTCGTAGATGTATGTGCACAACTCTTCAGAGATCAGCCCAGTAGTGTTAAATTTTTCCTCACTTCTGTGCACAACTTCCAGAGGCAATTAGCGAGGCGAGCAACTTTTTCTAATTCAGAGGCATTTCCTTCCCCCGTCTTGGCGCGACTCCTGTTATTTGACGAAGATTCTGACTGCTTATGTGGAAATGACACTCCATGCATAAGAGTTTCATGAAGTTGCATTTCGCGGGATCCAAATTATTCCATGAAATCCAATAACATAACTATTTAAACTCAGATTCATACTAATTACCACAGTCGTCGTACTGACGAGGTCCAATTGTAGTAACGGTTAGAACTTAATGGACCGAAACATTTCTTACCGTTATAATATATTTTACAATACTTTGCAAGTTTTATTAATTTCTTAGTAGTATTTGCTTTTTCTTCTCCCAGCATTAAAATATTTTTTTTTAATGCATCAAATTCTGCACAAAAATTTTGCTTTCAGGAGCGATTGGTTGAGTTGGCAAATATCTGCGGTCACGTAAGTGCTCAGGCGGCGTTAGCAGAGAAGCATTTAGATTGGTGTGGCGCCATTCAGGCGCTTTGCTGCTCAAGCCTGCAGGGTGGCGCCTCCGCGTTTCCGGATTTATTGCTCGGCATAAATGTGAGCCTTTTCAGTTTTCACAAATTATCGATA